GATTATAATAAAAACTGTCTTCGGACCTTTAGTGGTTTTTGATTTTGTTTATTTGGACCCCATTGATTTTTAATTGGTTACCCCTGCACTAGATTCAGATGCTCATTTAAAATGGCGTAACCACTATATAGTGCCCTATATAGTGATTAGAGAGGACATTCGAGGACATAACATACTATTATCAGTTATACTACAAATGTGAAAAATATAAATGTAAAAAGACTGTAGCGCTGTTTTATAATTTTTTGGCAAGGCCCCCGCCATGTTGCAGTACTCCAAGTGGTGATGTCACAAGGTCAGCTGATGCTTCAGCTAGCAACATTGGAAATACCAGCTACAGCGTACAACCATAAAACACAAAAGAAAGTTGGTATGATGGAAGATGAAGCTGAAAAAATCTACATCACATCCTTTTGAGCAAAACTTTCACTCTTCCCCCTGAATTAACAAGCGGGATGTACATAAAATATTTAATATAATATTTTTTTCCTTGAACCTGTTTCACAAAAAAAGATCCCCTGCCTTTAATTCATACACAACCTCATCCACTATGTTCCTCAGGTAACTGCATTTGTGTTGAATTTGAAAAATTCAAATTAATTCAGTTTCAGTTCAGGAACACTAGAAAAGTTTTATAAAGTACACATGTAAATTGTGTACTTTAAATATCTTCATAAATATAATATTAATAAATTAATAAATAATATTCATCATAAAATATCTTAGTGACACACCGTAAATTTGGTTGCCTAGCAACTCTGACAGCAGGAGGCACAAACCTGTGAAGTCTAAATATGATCAATTTTTACATCATTTATTCTGATGTGTATATTATCTATTTTAGGAAAACAGAAATGGTAGGAAATCCAAATTAATATGGCACCATTATGACTGATCCAGTGCAATACTTCATATGAGAAAGGTTAAGGTAAAACCTGCATAAATTATTCTTTTTGATCAAGATAAGGATTATTTGTTTTCATTTTTAATGGGCGATGTCAGCAAACAGGACATGCCTTCAGTATTTTTTGTTTTGATGATTTTCAGCGATACTGCTAATAAGGTTTATAGGACTGGATCCAACTCTTCCCTTGGCTTGAGTTTGAGGACAGCCTTATGTTCTGTACATATTGCAGAGGGCAGATTCAGGCAGGTATTTTGGCATTTGTGATTGGAAACCCCCATTGGAAAAAAGACAGACTCATCAAACAGGAATTATTACCAGAATTCTTATCTTTTCTTTTTTTTTTTTTTTTAATGGTGCTATTCAAAAAACTTTACAGTGCGCTTTTAAATATTTTCATTTAGGAGCACTTGTGCTCATGGTAAAAAAGCCAAGCATATAGCCCTGATGCATTCTGTCCCATTCTGTATGAAAGAATGGACTCTAAAAGATTTTTTAAAACACTTTCGTGTATTTTTAAAGCTTCTTGCTTTTGTAAAGTGTTTTTGTATCTGGGCCTCATTTTGATTAAAATGTATTGAAAGAAATCTGACCAAAGTGCCAGTAAACAGGTAAGAACTTCATCATCCTGGCATCTCAATGGTTTTGCAGTCCACAGCAGAAAGCTCTTCGGATGGGAAGCGAAACGTCTTTAAACTTGGAAACAAACTCCAGTAGATTGTTTTTAACTTTTTCGGAATTAATATGACCTGGATGAATAGGAATCTTCACCAGCAAGTTCAGAAGATGATCCCAGTTGGTTTCACTGATGCTAGACATCTGTAAATATTTAGCATCCACAAATGCTCAAACTGATTAATAGTTCAGCATATAGATCTTAGGGAAAGGTGAACTAAGTTACAATGCAATTAGGATACTGAAAAATTTACAATTTTAAATGTAGGGCTAAGATTTAAACTATTAGTAACCACAAGCTAAACCTCTATTTATAAATCTTTTCATTCTAAGCCTAACACTGCAGTAAGCTATAGTAGCTTTGTCAGCATCTACTGTTATGAGAAATGAACTGCAAACCTGATTTAAAATAGAATTCAACACCTTTACCGAAAACAAACTGCAAGGTGATAAAGAACAAAAACTGTAGTTTTGATACCGCTGTTGTTTTTCATAGCGGAAGAGTCAATTTAACTTAAGAGGTTAAGTTGCTAGGTTGATTAACTATTCAACATCCCAGCGTAATGTTGGTCCTGTTCAACCCGTCACTTGCACACACCATGGTATGTTAAGGGTAAGCTAATCATGTCTGAGACAACATAAGCTGCTAATGAAAGCCAAAACCCAAGGAGCCACCATCATAAAGCAGGACTTTTTTCATCATATTAGCGACTTGGATGCAGATGGTATATAGTGAAACAAAGATATGACCCATAGCTTTCCACTATAAAAGCTGATTTTTGTTATGAGCTGGTTTAGATGGACAACGCAGCTTCATCCATGCTTCTGACTTGCAGCATTGATTTGCTGCAGGTTTTACCCCTGGTAGACTTTTCTTTTTCTCGTTCCTTTGACGAATAGCTTTATTTGAAAAGCCATGCACTCAGAATTTGTATTTTCAGTGCATTGCATTATGCAACAACTTAATGACGCAGACTCAAGTGACAGGCAATCCACCAATCAAGTAGAAACACTAGAATGCAGGAGTAAAGACAAACATAACAGGTAAAACAACCAAAGACATCAAGATAGACATCTTTAGGGCTGTTTTCAAAAACTTTCTAGGTACTTAAAATTATTATTTTATCTAATTCACAAACGTTCAAGAGTTTAAAGAACTCCTAGGAACCCTTTGACATGCTCACAGACTTGGTAATTATTTTTTTTATTTATTTTTTTTTTATGTTGGATGCCTTTTCTAAAGCAACCAGGATTCTAACCCAGCTCCCCTACAGTAAAAATCTAAAATGCAATCAAAATATTTGACCTCCATTTTTAGGACAATATACATTGCCTGGAAATTTATTACAGATTTTGTTGGGATAATCAAGAATAATACAAACCTAAGTGGTTATAAATTAATTATAAATGGAATTTATTAAAAGAAAAAAGCCAGGTCCATGTGATAAAAAAACAAAACTGCTTTTCCACTTATGGTGGCAGTAAAAGGATAAAGCGCATAAAATGTCAACCATACTTTAGGCCTTTGAAGAGATATGAGAAGGAGTTATGTGAATTCTGCTTTCATTACAACAGAACTCTGGTCTCTCATGCTCTGCTGCTAAACACACAAATGCTGGTTTGAGGTGCTGGAGTCTTGACCGAGGCACAGTGTTGCTGATGAAACATTAAAACTGCAGAACTGACGGAGTAATACTTCAGCTTCAGTGTCCTGCTTCTTTGAACTCTATTATTGAGAGTTTTTATCTTCATATTTTTTCTGGCCTATTGGATAATCACTGTGTGACCTCAGCAGCAATCACGCTCTGTTTTTAAGCAGCAAGGACAGCTATAGAACCTGTGTCTGCTTTTAACTGTCACAACAATTTTCCTCTTGCAGCATCTCCAGCAGAAGCAGCGACGGTTAAAAAGCCCCCATCGCAGCATGCAGTGTGGGTAATTTCCCTCATCAAGCAGCAGATTAATCCCATTCAGACTTTTTAAAATGATCTGCAACCATATCTCACACACAAACATTTCATCCCACCTCTGTGCTCTCATATCATCGCCTCATTTTCCTCAGGCTACTCTAAACATCTGATCTTGAGGACAAAACATCTGCGTGAGGACAAACGACACTCTGTTGTGTCTTTTGTAAACTCACCATATGTTTATGAGTAAACAAAGGGTAGAGGTAGTTGGGCAAGACTTACGTGCACAAAGCCATTGGTGAGTTTTGCCTGATTGTTTCTCAAACCGTAAACATGCTAATCTGGATTTAAGCAACAGTAACTAGCATTTCAGCAAATGGTTAGAGTGTAACGTGGTCAGGACGATGCCAGCCAAATTGAAAACTATATAAATGAGCAATAAAAGGTGAATAAATATTTCATTGTGTTGAACTAGAATTTTTTTTTAATCATCTTATTCTTTAAAATATAGTTTTATGTTTCTGTGTTTATCACAAAAAGAAAATAAACACTTATGTTGCTTTATTTTAGGTAAAACAGTATTTAACATTTAAAATTTCAAGGCAGCTCTGACCTGCTGACCATAAGCCCAGCTACATTTACTGCTGCATGTGCTTATCTGTTAATACCACCGCGTCCGTTCAGACATTTTGAAAGGTGATATGTTTAGTTTACAAGGGCCAACGTGCTAACATTTCCGTCCCAGAGAAGTCCTACTAAAGTGGTATTTGACACCTACGCCTACAGTTGCCCCTGGATCCTGAGAAAGCAGTGGATGCAGGTCAACATGTGTGAGCAGTGCTATAAAGCCTAGCCAGTAGTGGTGGTGGATCCACTGACATATATCTAGCATGTTTAACAGTAAAGAGTTACATAATTATTGATTTTGTTTGTGTTATCCTTAGAGTCAGACCAGCTCCTCCTGCTTTACAAACAGCAGTTTTGTTAAGAGATCAGAGTGGTGAACCTCAGACGAATTGAAACATATGCACATAGCTGTTCAAAGTAATACCATATTCTTTCACAACAATAAGTGAGCGGTTGCCTTTACTATACACGGTGGAATAATGAGATGCTTTTTTATAAGCAAATTTTTGCTGTTAAAACAGAAAACTGTAATTGATTTTTTTTAAATTGAGGCCAATCTCTGTAGGCCTCCGAAAAAAATGAACTTTAAATTAGCTCTAAATTTAATAGACAATTTCCGGCTCTAATGGGACTAATATGATGACAATCCGCACTGTGGAAATTGTTTTACAAGTGAAATTAAAATAAGCACTTAATGAGGACTCAAGGAAAGATCACTGGGGCTGGAAACCTGTCCAACCCTACGACTCGTTTCAAAAACCTAACAGCTATTAAAATAATCTTTTACTGCCATTTTTACCAATAGGGTTAATTCAAAAGTATAGAACAGAGATAAATTAATTGTACAATATATCACTACATACAGGAAGAGATCAACTGCCTACCTTCAGGCCTGTACTGAGCAATGATGGTGACAGTCTGTCCCGCTCTCTTCAGGGCTGCTGCTGCTTGTTCATGAGTGGCGTTCCTAAGGTTCACTCCATTCACCTGCAGGAAAAGTAGAACTCTTTATGAACAAATATTATTTATATGCGTCTTTTTATTTTTTTCAATACTTTATGCGACATACATCTATATTCATACCTTTTCATTTTGATACTACTAAATAATATCCAGTCTAAATTAGGGATGCATCGATCCACTTTTTTCACCTCCTATACGGTACCGATATTTGAAGTCTAATGTTGGCGATACGGATCCGATACCAAAAACAGCACTGATTTATTACCTAAAAAATGCTTTTATTGTGTAAAAAAAAAAAACTGGGATCATTCTTATATGCATATGATTTGACTTCCCTTTTCTTACAAAAAAATAGGAATCAACCCAAATATTTAATATTTATTTAACAACTGTACACAAAATCTTAAACCAAAAGTTCTCTGACTTGGTCAACATGTAAAAAAAAAGTGTCACAGGTTCATTCAGTGCAAATTGAAATCTAAAAATTCAATACAACAAAATACATTATGAAGGAGCTAAAATTGAGAAATTAAAACAGCTTCCACGTATTGATTTCTAGACAGTCCAAATAAAACAGCCATCAGCTCTTTACGATGTTTAGTGCAAATCATGGGCGTAGGTTTGCATAGGGACCATAGGGACATGTCCCTACCAAAATTCTGAACCGACCTAATTGTCCCTACAAATAATTGAATGTGAGCAACATGTTTATAATTTACAGCAGTAGTTGTTGTAGCAGTGGCTTCTTTTTCTCTCACAGCTCCTCTGCCTGGTCTCTCCTGTCCCTTTCATGTAGCAGCGCATGGAACTGTGCTGCGCTGTTTAACTCCACTCTCATTGGTTGTTCTGCCTTAGGTTCCGCCTTCTCTCTCTCTGATTGGCTGTTTTCTAGTCCGCGTGTGCTTGGAGCACAACATTGAAAATTTATTCACACTAGAATGCAGCGGTTACTACAATTAATATTAGGCTACAAAACTAGTCCCAATAAAAAAAAAAAATGAATATCATGTACACTAAAAAACAAAAACCTTTTTTTTTTTTTCTTTTATAAAACGAAATATTCTGAGTCAGCCAGGAGTTCTGAAGACTGCTGGAAAAATGGGCAAATAAAGGCTGTGAGCCATCAACATTTCTGATTCTTAGCCACAGCCAACTAAAAAAGAAAATGTGAGGGTTTCCTTTTTACCGATATTTAGTTGCTGTTTTCATTTTTTTGTTTTTATTTTTACAATTTTTATATAATAACTGATCTAAGTGGGTTGCTCTGTCGGGGAAAGGCACAATTTACATTTATATTACTGTATGTTTTAAAGTCTCTATACTCCAGTTAATGATGAATCACGTACTAAATTAGTTGACGATTATTGAAATAATCAATTAATATAATTCATTTTTTTCAGCCCCAGAGGAAATACATGAAATTGGCTACACAGAGTAACTACAGCCCAGATGTTCAACTTTTATAGTGAAGTTAATATTTTAATGAATGTATTATTTTGCTTGATACAGAGAGAGAAAAGTAGGTACAAATATTAGAGTGGGGTTTAACTCTGCATAATTCTATATCTTCAAATGAAAATACTGTATTTAGCTTCTCTCTTAGTCGTTCAAATGAAACCGTTTTCAAAGTGGAAAACAGTCCTAATTCCACATTCATCAGAGCCGGTGATGCTTCAAACATTGATAAACAGCATCTAATGAGTGTAGAGCTTATAACATTTTTATTAATGGAGCAAAATGTTGCTTTTCTCTTTTAACAATGAATTCCTCTTATCAGTATGGATGCTCACATCGAGCATAAAAAAGGGCACGCATATTGCATAGCACCAATGACACCAGACCAATAGTGTCCCTACCAAAGTTCAAATCAAACCTACGCCCTTGGTGCAAATGGAATTTAAACATCCATTATAAAAGCATCTGAATAAACCAAGAGATTCTCCTGCTTGGTCAAGTTGGTGGTGTTATAGTTTTAAGATGTAACATAGCATAGAGTTAGAATGAATAGATCAGCCGCTAAATCGAGTCAATTGTCACCAATACCGATCTAGTTTTTTTAATTTATATCTGGACCGATACCGATAAAAATATCGGATCGGTGCATCCCTAGTCTAAATGCAGCTAATTAAAAGTGCTGTCACACATTTTCCTTACATTATTCAGTACTTTGTGTTGATTTTTTATGTTAAATGTAAAAAAAAATGTTGAAGAGAGAGTAATAGTTTGAATTATACATTTCAATAGTTCTTACTTTCATTTTCCGTAGATATTCTAATGTAGGTAAGTACATTTTTAAATACTTATACATCATTTATTGTTAAACAGCCAGCAGAACGGAAATTAACGAAGGTATATTTTTAAACATCACTGGATTTTGTGCAGACAGCAGCTTGGCTCTCAGAGTTGTTATGGAGTTAATGTCTTGCTCAAGGACATATCTGCGTGGGCAGGTGTTTGCAGGCTTTCTGAACACCAGGCCACCTTTAATTCTGCCATCATTATTCTGACAGCAGGAGCTCGCTGAAAATCTCAATCCCTCCACCTAGTTAGAGTTGTGGATGAGGGCAGACAGGAAGCCTGAAGTTAAAAGACGCACCGATAGGATCCGGTCCCCCCGCCGCAGCTCGCCACTCAGGTCAGCTGGCCCTCCAGCCAAGATGAAGGAGACAAAAATCCCCTCTCCATCCTCCCCGCCGACGATGTTGAAGCCCAATCCGGTGGAGCCCTTGTGCAACACTACCTTCCTCGGCTCCCTGCCAAGGAGAAAGAGACGGTGTGAGGGTGAAGGGCAGGACAGAGAGTAAACACAGAGAGAATACCACAAGAGATCGATTTATGCAGGGTGTTTCCATTGTTGCTTTGTCTGTGTTGGGTACCAAAATGTTAAGTACACCTTTTACATGATCTGCAAGCAGCAGAACAGAAGATCTCTCATTCTGGATACTTTATTTATATTTAAAATACTTTAAACAGAACATTGAAATGATTCATGTGGAGGGCTGTATTGAACTCTGAAACACCCATGCAGTTGTCCTGCTACAGAGGCATGCAGAAGTTTGGCTGTTCAAAGGTCAAAGGTCAAAACTTGATCCTTTTTACTTCAAACATAATAAACAACTAATTTACAAGAGAAAAGTAAAACTTAAAAACAGATATCTGTTTCGAAAGATATTACAACAGCTGAAAACAGACATTTTCTTATAGCTGACTGATATCAAAAAAAAAAAAAAAAAAACCCAAAACAACTTTCCTGTTTCAAGTCACTTGGCAAGAGAGCTGTTTTTTTATTTATTTTTTATTAGTTTTATACATTTCTTCAAATCCGGAAGATTGTAAGCACTAAGACCATATAGCTTTGGTAAGCTTGGGAAAGTGAGAATATTGTGACTCTAAAGGCTTTAGACAACATTTAAATTAAACTAATTTATCTTCAAGCAACACAGGTTGCTGTTGTCACTGCTCCATCGTCATGGTCAATTGTGACATCTGCAAAAATTACAGACAGGTGTGAACCTTCCATATCTAGGTAATCCTGTTGACTGAAGGTTGCTTCTAAACAAGTTTTGTTCTGAATTCTGTAAACCAACTCCAGAACAAAAGCAAATGAGCTTTTCTCAGATGCTGGCAGAAGAGAGTGAGAATGGGTGATTATCCACCGTTAAACAAGTCCTGAACAGACCAATCAGAGAAGAAACCATTACTCTAAAAGCAATATAGAAAAAAACTGATTACACTTTACAGATAGAGGAAAACCCCCAAATTTATTTAAAAAAAACATGCTCTGTGTGATATGACCAAACTAAAACTGAATCATAACAAACATTTTGAAATGTATCCTGATTCCTAAATTTCAATAAGGTACAAAACATCTCTTGAAATCTTCTTCTGTTCTTTAACTTAGAGGCCTAGTTTTGGTAGAGGGGAGGTTCTAGACCAAATTTACCAGCGGTCCAGGGTGGTGCTAGCTCACAAATTCACACAACATCAAACCAGTTAGCAGTTTATTGTTTGATATATAATAAATAAGATGCAGAACCAAAAAGCCCCCGGAGTTCAGCAGAAACCGGATACAGCAGATAAAAAAAACTGATCCTACGACTGAAGATTTAAAGTGCAACACCTTAATTTGTTTAATGTTGTTTTTATATATACACACATACATAAAAATGTAGTATCACACCTTCAGTAACTGTCTAACCCGTGAGTTTGAATAATCCTAACTGACCTTTAAGTTACATTTGAGCAGAAATGATGAGATCAACATAACTTTTTGAACAGCTAGCGTAAATGTTTGGTTTCAGCAGCCGTTTTTAGGACTGCATTCATTAACGTGATGAAGAAACCACTTTGAAAAGTTGTTAAAAACTGTAATTTTGCAATGTTTTTAAAATAAATAAATTACATCTGAAACCCCTCATTAAAACCTGCCAAGGACTCTGAAAACTATCATTACCAAAAAGCACTCAAAAAACACAGACCCTCAGCCAAGCAGTACATTTCTCATTCTGATGTTTAGGGACCCTTAAAAAAGCCCTAAATCTGCATCACACTCTGGATCACCTCAAACATTTCATAGGTTCCAAGTTAGGCTTAAACAGACGACAGCATTTTCTGTAATATTGATAAACTACAAACACACCAACTCAACATCAAACCAGTAATAATGACCTACTGTATGTAAGAAACAAGGCTTAAAACATTCCAACAAATATATTCCGCTAGTATGTAAACCAATCAGAAAACCAAGTTAACAGGAAACATAGCTAATCAGGTACAGGCCTGGAGATTCAGGAAAATGTTTGACTGCTGAAGATTATCATGTAGATTTATCCAGCAGTGTGCTGGAGGTGTATCCCTCCGCTTGGCATCACTGCTTGCATAAATATGAGTCATCAGAAGTCAAACATTCATGTCTGCTGTCGATGTCAGATTGTTGGTAAAATGCTAAATGTCAATTCAGGGAAAGAAAAAAAAACTTGAAAAGGCGGCAGCTTGTGAAAGGGAAAATGTTTTTTTAACACACTATAAACTGGTTCCAGAGCTAATCTCCCATTGGTTCAGTAAAACAGTCAGAGAACCAGTCTGGTGCTTCTTTATTACATGATTAAAACTGCTCTTCAGTACATGTTTGATAATTTCTCTACTGTATCTGAATGTATAAAGAGAAAGGAGATTAAACGAATTACTGTATTTGTTGCTTTAACCCCTAAAACACATTACAAGCAACGGTTCAAGCTCCGATCATTATTCTCTAAAAATAGACAATCATTAAATGAAAACATCATCTGACTTTTTATGAGTGCAGTAGCCAAGTTCTTGGTCTGTCTCGCAGATCAAAAGCAGAACCAGCTTTGCCAAAGAGATTAGTCTGCACTTTACACATGGAGCTCCCAACATCTTAATTGGTGTTGATCTGTATCAGTAGGCCCTCAGCTTCTGAGGAAAGGGATTGTTTCCTCTGCAGCAGCTAAAGCTTGGCAGACATGTTGCTTTGGCTGAAGGAAATAGAAAACATAAGGTCTGAACTGTTGATCTGAATGGTTCAAATTTAAAAGTCATCAACGCTGACTAATCAATGGTCAGCTGGAAAGTAAAACAAAAACAAAACATCTTTATCTGACTAGCGATCAGCCCATACCAGAGGTCTACCAGGTTGCACTGAGAACAACACTTCTTTATGTGGATGTTGTTACTATGTGAAGAAGACTCATACGTTTATGCTACTTATTTAATCCTGAACTTTAATTTGTTACTGGTTTCCCTAAAGAATAGACCAGGGGTAACTAATTAAAAATCAGCGGGGTCCGAGAGCAAAGAAAATCAACAACCAGTGAAGGTCTGGAGACGTTTTTAATCATAATCCATTACTTTAAACAGAATTTAACACTGAAATAACATGAGGTGTTTATGCATCCATGTTATACATTGACTTTTTAAATAATAAAATAAAATAAAAAGAACATTTTCCCATTTTAAAATCTAAAGAGGGCTTTACCAGATTAACAGGAGAAGTGGCACAAGTGGAGTTAGACACTGTCGTCGGACAACGTGGTGATTTATAAATGTTTTAAGTCTGGTATAGACTTTTGAATGACCTAGATCATTTATGTCTATGATTTTTTTTTCTATCCATTCTCCCTGGTTTTATGCAAGAAAATCCAGTTTTACTTGATGTTTGCAGTTTAAATAAAATCAGAGAAAACAGAGGAAAAGAAAATTATTTTTTCAAAAACCTGGTGAGAAATCTGTCCAGATCAACCAGACTGCAGAAGGGCAACATAGAGAGTGATTGAAAGGAAAGAAACAAACAAGCAACTAGGTTGCTTTCTTCTATCTTCAAGCTTTCAGCCTCTGCTATGGAAGAGGCTTTGGAAATGCTGGGAGCCCTTAGGAAATCTTAAGGTTTAATATCTAGCTTCTTTAGGGAAGACTTACAGGGAGACTAAGGAGGTAGAAATGTTTCAGAGAATCTGAGTTATTTATTTTTTAATATGAACATCTGTACATTCTATGTGAAAAGTTGAAAAGCCAAAATAAATACATGAAATATGTTCAGATAGATACTCGTACCAAACAGTCAGATACAAGCAGTCATTCATTATGTGTGTAAAGGTTACACCTGCAAAAATCTGTAACATAAGACTAATTTAGTATTTGTAGTTTTAAAGGCAAACTGCCTTTACTTTTGCTTGAAATAACTGAAAACTAATGTAAATCACAAATGGGAGAAGGATATGCTTTTGTTAGCTTTTCATATCATCTTAAAAGTGCCTTTAAAAAAAATTCAAACAGTTTAAAATCAACAGGTCAAAATAAATACATGAACTAAAAAACAAATTAAATCTAAAACGTCACGATTTGCTGAAAGCATCTGTTATCAAAATGCCTTTACACAGTATTCTCCTGGCCGAAGGAAGTGTTACTTTGAGCTGACTATGCAAGAACTAAAAAAGTTGTTTCAAAGTACTCCTTTCTATCTCACAAGGTTTAACTTTTTAGCAATTTACAGTTTTTTTTTGAAGAGTTACATTGTTCCCTACAAATCAGTAAAACGAATAGGTGCAAAGAGCTGTTATCTACTGATAACCAGCACCCTCTGCTTATGCATGAAAATGTACACATGCGTATGCACTCAAACATGCAGTAAAATCAGTGCACGACAGTAAGCCACTACCCAAAGCTCTCCTTTAGCCTCTATGACTCATCCTCCAGCAGGCTGCTTCAGCTTTAAGATGCTGGGGCGTCCAAACCAATGCTTCAGTGCAGCAAAAATCATGCTTTACACACACACTGATGCACACTCTAGGAAATCTAAGATCTCTCTCACACACACATAGACACTTCCAATAGATGATAACATATTAACATTCACCGCTGTGCACAAAAACACACACAATTTCCTCTAAACAGAAAAGACAGCATGTCTCCCATTAGAGGTCTTCCCAGCCTGCGGTCTACAGGAACAATTACATCTCATTCCCTAATGGCTGCGCTCAGACTCGCAGTTAAGACAGTTTTTCCTGTTGAACGGCAGCCGGGGAAACGATCCAGACTCTCAGATTTATCTTAACAGTGACTGGAAAGAGAAAACTCAAATAGCTGCACAACGGTAATTTATTGGGAGAGATTCTAGCAATAAAGTTCTGTTAAATGAAATATACAGATTACTTTATTGCCTTGGAGGTGAGCTGCTTGGGGACTAAAACAACTGCAGGGATAACATTGTGTAATGCTGGTTTTAATGTCTTACACA